AACTCAGGCTGTGCGGAGAAGAAGATGAGTTTGGAGAGGTCCCTAATCCGGTTTAATTAAAAATCTAACCGAACCGGAAATTAAACCGTGAAAATTCGGAAACCGATTCGGTTTAAGCAAGTAGAAATGTAATGAGCTTTACAAATGTTGTATTCGTCTCTCTCTTCTTCACTTCGTACCAAAGCATTTCCCTTTTCTCTCCTCCGGCTAAATCTCCGGCGAAAGATCCGGCCAAGAGCTTGATGTTTCGTTTTCGTCTACTTACTTGGCGTCAAAGCTGATCAAAATCTAGTTGACCACACTGAGCAAACAAATCCAGGTGATCTCTTTTGTTTTACCTCTACTTCTCTAGATTCTGATGAAATTGTATCAGTTCTTTGTGTAATCCCAAACCTAATTCGAAAAATCTGTGAATTTTTCTTGAAATTAGCACTGTAGAAACTAGAAAGATCCTTAAGGGATAGATTTTGTATCGGAAATGATGATTCACTTCGAGATCTGTGGAAAAAGTCATGCGTAGAAACAAGAGATTCTGCTTAAACTGATTTTGTTTTAAAAGTTTTGATTTTGAGACATAAAAACCATTTCTTGCAGGAGAAATTTTGGTGGGTTTTTGTCTGGAGAATCCAATTTGTGTGGTGGTTTCCAACTATGCTACCTAGTGGGTTGAAAGAAACCCAACTCCAGAAAGTTCATCCTCAACCAATGGAAGAATCTATCAATCAGAATCCAGAAGCTATGGAAGCACTTATATCCAATCTATTTGGAAACATTTCGTCTTTGAAATCAGCTTATATCGAGCTTCAAAGTGCTCATACGCCTTACGATCCCGAGAAGATTCAAGCAGCGGATAAAGTTGTGATCTCTGAACTCAAGAATCTTTCGGAACTGAAGCATTTTTACAGAGAGAATAACCCTAAACCTGTATGTGTCTCTCCACAAGACTCCCGTTTAGCTGCAGAGATACAAGAACAGCAGAGTCTGTTAAAGACTTATGAGGTTATGGTGAAGAAATTTCAGTCTGAGATTCAGAATAAGGACTCTGAGATCACGCAGATGTTGCAGAAGATCGAGGAAGCAAACCAGAAACGGCTTAAGCTTGAGAAGAATCTTAAGTTAAGAGGAATGTCTACGAACGAAGGTTCTGGTGGAGATGGCAATTTGCAATTTCCTGACTTAACCACTGAACTCTTTATATCTACCTATGAAGCTGCTTCTAAAGCCGTTCACGATTTCTCCAAACCGCTCATCAACATGATGAAAGCTGCGGGATGGGATCTTGATTCTGCAGCCAATTCCATTGAGCCTGATGTTGTTTACGCCAAGAGGCCTCACAAGAAATATGCATTTGAATCATACATATGCCAAAGGATGTTCAGTGGGTTTCAGCAGAAGAATTTCTTAGTAAACTCGGAGACTGCATCGGCCGATGACACAGAGGCCTTCTTCCGCCAGTTTCTTGCTTTAAAGGACATGGATCCACTAGATGCTCTAGCGACAAACCCGGATTCCAACTTTGGTAAATTCTGCAGGAGCAAGTATCTCATCTTGATCCACCCAAAGATGGAAGCTTCTTTCTTTGGAAATCTAGACCAGCGTGACTACGTGACAGGAGGTGGACACCCGAGGACCCCGTTTTACCAAGCCTTCTTGAAACTGGCAAAGTCAATATGGATCTTGCACAGGCTCGCCTACTCGTTTGATCCAGCTGCAAAGATCTTCCAAGTGAAAAAGGGTAGTGAGTTCTCTGATTCATACATGGAAAGTGTTGTGAAGAACATAGTTGTGGATGAAAAAGAAGAGAGCCCAAGAGTTGGTCTTATGGTCATGCCTGGATTTTGGATTGGTGGTAGTGTGATTCAAAGCCGAGTTTATGTTTCAGGTGTCAAGGTCATTGAATGAAGGAGATTCTTATATCCCTGATTCTCAAGAACTGTCTTTAAGCTTCCCACTTTGTCGTGCAACTTTTATTTTCCTTTGTTATAAATTATATTTTCAGTAAGCTCCCCATCATGTACTGTTTATAAAAGAAAAATGCTTAAGATATGAACAAATGAAAGTACAAGTTTGTCTTTTCGATTCACTTTCAGATAAATAGGTTTCTTACATTTCAATCAAAACGAAAGTAATAATTCTTGCGCAGTTTTTTCTGCATAAAATTACATAAACAAAGTCGACAAGGTAACAACAACAAATGGTCTTCAATGGCAAAAAGATAGCACTAATATTCCAAAGTTGACGAACCAAAACCCCCCAACGAATCACAAAGAGAGTAGAAGAAACAAAATCACTTGTTGAGCCAAGGGAATACATCTGGCGATGAAGGAAGCCTCGCCGTTAAAACCTCAACACCAGTTTCCGTTACCTGCAAATAATGAACATATAACCATTAATTATTACAAAAACTGATCTTTTAAACCAACTTTTTAAGGGTTTTACAAGTTTTAGTTACCAAGAGGGTATGCTCAAACTGAGCACTGCGTTTCCCATCTGCGGTAACTGCGGTCCAACCGTCAGGCCATGTTCGATCACGCCACGACCCTATCATGGCAATATGAGAAATTAACTAAAGAGCAGGCAAAAATTTTAAACAATTAGCGAATGTAAAAAAACTCACCTGCGTTGATCATTGGCTCGATTGTGAAAGTCTGGCCTGCTTTCATCACTCCAACTGCTTTGTTTCCTGATTTTGGGGTTAAGGGAAATTTACAGTGTAATAGACTATACCAGGTACTAAAAATCTAAAACAGATGTTTATGTTCTGCGATCTTGAACCAAGTCACAAAGGATACTTGCATAGTGAGGAATGTTTGGGGCACAATGGAAGAGATCTCCAATACCATGACCACAATAAGATTTCACCTGTTTAACCACCACAAGTAAGTTACTGTCTATGACAAATGTTCTACAAACAGATCATGTGATGATTGTAGACACTAAAACAAAAACTAGACTTTACCACTGATAACCCAGACATTGTAGCATGGCGGTTGACTATCTCTCCGATTTCACGAAATCTAACTCCAGGTTTAACTGAAAGAGACAAAGAAAACCGTAGATACTCTCATCATTTCTTCTCAATATTTAATATTGATAACAATCAGAACATAAAAGCTGAGAACAGGTGAAACTTGGGAGTTGGGACCTACCAATTGCTATGGCTTTTTCCAAGCACTCGTATGTGCATTTAACTAGTTGACGTGATGCTTCGTCAACATTCCCAACAAAGTATGTCTCATTAAGGTCACCTACACATAAACCGTTCTGTGAGACAGGATATTTCTATAGGTAACAAACTTACTACAAATAATCAATTTTCTTCTGGAGATAACATACCGTGGCAACCTTTATAACAAACTGTCACATCAACGTTTACTATATCACCATCTTCTAGTTTCCTGAAGCAATTAAAGCACAACGAGTAATTACAATTTCCCGGGAATTTTTAGTTATTTTGTCAGAAAGGCTCCAAAAGTTGCAGACACCAGACGGTAAGCATACCTAGCATCCGGAATTCCATGACAAATCACTTCATTAACAGATCTAAAAGGAAACATTCAAAAGACACTTTAGAAAGGGAATTACATGGTAGAGGTAACAATGTAGATACAAAAGAAGTACCTACGTGCAGCAAGATTTGGGAAAGAAATAGTAGTTGAGGGGTGATGGATATCCTCCTGTCAGAGAATAAGATTAACAGTTATAATGCTGCCGTGATGACCTTGAGTGATTTACTTCCCAAAAGGATAAGAAAAACTAAAAGTACAAACCTGCTGCGATAGTTGCTTCGTGAACCACTCGATCAATCTCATCAGTAGTCACACCAGGGCGAATCACCCTAGCTGCTGCATCCAATACCTCCCTGGCAATCTGATAACAGAAAATTCAAGTGAGAGCCTTGAAAAAAGATCAGATAATAGAAATGTAGACCATTGGCATTAAGATAACACTAACTTTACAGGTTTCACGCATTCGCTGAATTTGTTCAGGCGTTTTTATCTACAATACAAATACAAAACCTTGTTAGTTGCAAATGATGAAACGAGTATCAAATGAAACCAAAAAAACCACAGCAATGAGATGCAAGATTTGTGTTCATGGCTCCGGATTCAAGACAATTGAATGAACAAAAACTAATGGATCAAAGCATCACTAACCTCAACAACATGTTGTAGCTCACTATTTGGTTCAATTTTAGGAGTGCCCTGTATGTAAAAAATGGTAGAAAATATAACATAGAATAGTTAGAAACTGCAAGACAATTGAATCGGGTTCAACTTTGCTAGTTGTAGAGAGCAGAAACAAAGTGATAGGGACATACATCAATTGCCCAGTCAGGTTTATCAATCTCAGCAGGCACAACACGCTTGGTAGATATGGGAAATTGCTTTAGTGGCCTACACAATACAAGAAGAAATAAGAAATCAAAAATCGACAAGAACTAACACTGTACAATATTTATATCCCTCAATGACATGAAAAGGGATGTCTTGGTTACAAACCCTGTCCAATCAAAGTGTGGAAGCTTAGCTGTTCTAGACTGCCCTCTCTTCACACAATACAGCCAACCTTGAGAAATTAGATCAGAATTCTCATCACCCGGAATGGATTTCGCTTTCACATGAACTGATTTGTGCGAGCTCCAAGCTGCCTTGAAACAGTCTTGAGTACTGTAAACATACAATAAGAAGAAAAATCAAAACTTTGGAAAATGAACAAGTTCTAAAGACTCATTAATACAAAAAAAATGGTTTGAGAAACGTACCAGAAAGAAGCATCTTCACGAGGAAGCTTCAATTCTATGCATTTTGGACACCTACAAGCATAATTGAAACAGTTTAAGAAACCAAAAATCAAGAAACTTGTAGCCAAACAGGATTCTAATTGGATCCCACGAAATCAAAGAATCAATTAATAACACTTGAATCGAAGTGAGCATCGACTAGTCTAACTAAAAGCAACAGTGATCAAAATCAACCAGAAAGATCGAATTTTGGAGCTAAGTTCACACCAACTAAGCAAGTCAAATCCAAAGGGAAGAGGAAGGAGATGAAGAAGAGAGTGATGGGTAATTACGTACTGAAGAAGAGCTGGCTTCTCGCAGCGAACACACGATAACGTAGCAATGCTTGATGCATCTGATTCACCGGCCATTCAATTTTTCTTGAGGACTCGTAAATCTTTAACTCAAAGCAGAGTCTGAGATTGAGAAAGTAGTAATCAGTAAAAAGGTAAGCTTTCAAAGTTAGAATCAGAGAAGCAGATTCGGCACCTTTCTCAACTCCGCCCAAAATTCGCCGGTCTGATATTCCAGAGAGACACAGACGACGAATCTCTAGGGTTTATCCGTATAGAAGACTGTTCTTGAAACGGCGTCGTTTCGTAATTATTTCTCTCTATTTTTGGATTAAAATATGTAGTATCAATTTATTTTACTTTTTCATACATTCCAATATGTAAGCCAATATGGCATGAAAGTTTTGATCCTAACTTATAATTCGACATTCTTTTGTACTACAATCTTAAAAGAAAACTTCTTTTTCTAATTCTCCACAATTTGCATCTAATTTTGTACAAGTGACTAAAACTTATTCATAACAATATTTACAAATAAATAATGGTGTGCTAATAGTATCCATTTGAAAAAAATTTGCTCTATGGATTTAGGTCATGGTTCAATTTCTCTTAAACGAGTCGAAATAGTATAATGTTTTAAGTCCATTAGAAAATTTAGTGGGTAAATTACTCAACGACTACACTCAATCAACAAATATTAATATGATGGTAAAAACATGGATAACTCCGGACTTTTCTTAAAAAAAAAAATAATTGTTATCAATCAAATCTTCTATATATTAATTGAAGAGATACTAAGTGAAAAATTATATGTGTCACTCAATGGAGATTTTAAGGGATAAATCAATTAAATTAACCAATCAAAACATTCTAATTAATTTTATATGTCATGTTGGAAATCTCTACATATTTACATTAAATTTTTTAACATAAACTCACAAATACATATGTTTCTATTTTCAATCCTAC